TCACAAAGAAATATCCTGAAAAGGATATGCAAATGATTGCTTGACTGGACAGTCCCATCAACTCCTTTCATTTAAATGGCCCAGATACTAATTTAAGCATTGCTGTAACCAGGGGTCATTTCGTAGAAAAAGAGGTGCAGGAGCCCGTTAGCATAACTTATTTGCATAGGCCACACCCCCTGACATCACCGGAAGTGTGTCAGAAGGCAACACCCACCGCTCAGACGCCACTGGACTGTTTTGGATTGCTAGCTATTGGGGGGGGGAACGTGCAGATCTGTCCTCGTAGAGGAGGGAGAGCTTGTACCTGAATAAAACTTGGTCTTAAAGGTTGTTACCCGAACTCCTCTAAGGATGGTTCCGGGAGCCCAAATCGACTAAATTACAGCCGCAGACGTTTGTGTGAGTTCTAGTCCCGTGTATCCAGAGGTCAGATTGGCTTCGAACGCTCGCTATTTCCCAGGAAGTCAGACAACACACTAGGTTTTATGAATAAATGTTGCCTTTACTAAAGCAGTTTCTTCAGACATACAAAAACAGATACATACAAGATTCGCACAAGCTCCTTAGTTACAATAGGAAATAGACACAATCAGCATGGAAAATAACAAAAGCATCAAATAAGGGGGATGACTTTACAGGTGTGCGGTCATACTTATCTGAGGTCCGCTGAGAAGAAATCTCCTCTTAGAAAAGAAGGGCAGCCAAAGCATCAACTGGTGGACCAGCCAAGCCACGTGCGCGTTCCCTGGTCGCGACTCCGGGGAACTTAGAGAGTCACCTGAAGCACCTTGGTGCACGCTAAGGGAAGGAGGCTCGAGAGAGAGAGAAACAAAGCCGTGTTTCTCTTTTTAAAAGCTATGTTTTGGGCATGGCCTTACCTGCCATAAATCCTCAGGGACCGTCCTCTATCCTATGGCTATAGGTCCAAAGGGGGTGACGTCCTAATAAGGGGAAGGGGGCAATATGCAGATATTCTATCCTACATCAAAGCGGGGGCCATGTGGTGAGGTGTGAACCTCCATTTCCATTGGCAACCTTTGACTTGCAGAGATGTTGCTGGCCCAGAGTCATAAATAGTATGTTGTCTTTTTGATGCCCAAACCAGATAGCGGGGGTGAGTTACCTGGTTTCCCACAGATTAGCAATGGTGGGGTTCGCTGTTGTTTTCCAAGGGTCCAAGTTAGGTGCAATGGCGCTGGGTCTCCTCTGTCCCGATGCATCATGGGATGAATTCCAGGGAAGCACATGGTCTGTAGAAGCAGCAGGCAGCACAGGTCTCGTCTATTCCTAGGCAAGCATGCGATGCAAGGCAAAGCTCCACAAACAGCAACAATCCCTGCGTCCCCAATGCACAGATATACAGACATGAAACCCATACAGGCAGCATCAACACAACACAGAAATGCAAACACAAGCACCCATGGTAACAAGGTGCCACTGAAGAAGAAGAAGAAGAGATTGGATTTATACCCCGCCCTTCACTACCCAAAGGTGTCTCAGAATGGCTTACAAACTCCTTTCCCTTCCCCTCCCCACAACAGACCTGTGAGGTAGGTGGGGCTGAGAGAGCTCTGACAGAAACTGCTCTTTTTCAAGGACAGCTGTTATCAGAACTACGGCTTGCCCTAGGTCATCCAGCCAGGTGCAAGTGGAGGAGTGGGGAATCAAACACGGTTCTCCCAGATTAGAGTCCGCGCACTTAACCACTACACCAAACTGGCTCTCAAACTGGACTGTTTTGGGCTGGGGGGGGCTCTACAACTTACCTGGCTGCTTCTTGCTCGGACTGAGGGCTGCTGGGAGCAGGGGGTGGGGCTTGTTGCATGTGTCTGCCCCCTGGGCTCTTTACTGTTGGAGCTCCGCTCCTGGGTGCTCCTGCAGGAAATGACCCCTGGCTGTAATAGCAGCTTGACCCTTTCAGCGTGCAGTGGTATGCAAAAAATATAGTCTCATAGGGCATGACTTAACCTAGTCTTCCCTTGTGCTTTGAAGGTGCTGAAAACCACAGATGACATCAACCTTTCAATAATTTGCTCTAATGAAGATGGTATATTTTTATGGCTTGTCGTTCATTTATATTCTCTACTTTGGGCTGTATCTCAAAATAGGTTCTAAGGATTCTCCGCCCATTTACTTTTCAGCAAGGCAATCTGCTCCTCTAGATTTGTGGGTGTTTTTAATAATAAAAAAATCCAATTGGCAGAAATCGATTTGCTTTTCTGGCATCTGATTTCTGCCTTGCTGTCTCGCCAAGCCAGTGTATTCTTCATGGCCTTCGGTGTTTTGCTGCCAGCGGCTCCTCATCCCAGCTCAACACAAAATTGCAGAAGCCAGTCTAAATGTGGTGGACTTTCATATCTTTAAACATCCATCTTCCCTTGTCCAGCTGGAACCAGTGGGTGAGTTTTGTGAATGAGGTCTGAGGGGAAGGAGTCCCTGCTCAGTAACACAGAACTGTGCCCAACACTGCCAGTTCTGCAGTTTTTTTCTTCCTATAGTCTTTAATTCTTCTCTCCCCTTCTGCTTCCTCTTGTCGCTGCAGACCTCCCCTCTGTCTGTATTGTGATTAGATAGAGCGCAAATATGAACCAGAATATGTCAAATAAATGTTGGAAATGTAAGAACCATGAGGGCTCATTTTACCATATGTGGTGGACTTGTGAGAAAGCTGTAGACTTTTGGACAAAAGTCCACATTGAAATGCAAAAAATACTGAAATGCTCTTTCAAAAAAGCACCGGAAATTCTGCTTTTGGGACTTAAAATGGAAGAAGTCAATACGACTAAAAAGACTTTACTCTGGTACTTAATAACAACAGCGAGAATGATCTATGCACAATGCTGGAAAACAGAGAAAGTACCAGAGATTGAAGACTGGATACAAAAAGTTCTGTTCATGGCTGAAATGGATAAAATCACAAAAAAGTTGAATAACAAAGAAGACGACGTGTTTTTTGAAGAATGGAGTGACTTTAAAATATATCTGGAAAAGAACTGGGATGTGAAACAAAATTTAATATGTTTAGATCAATATTAAGTCAAATGATGTTATCTTGAGATTGTAATGATAAGAAAATGATATAATGGATGAAGTATAGCAAGGTGGAGTTGGGGGGAAAGCATTGCGGGAAGCCACAGAGGGGAAGGGAGGAAACGGGAATGGGGTAAACAATGGAAAAGTGTAAATGATTGAATTTCAAATGTCGAATTCCTATGAAAATAAAAAACTTGTTTACCAAAAAAAAAAGAAATGTGGTGATGGTCGGGGCTGGGGTGGGGTGAGATGGCAGGAAAGGTGGGCAAATAAAGGCTCATTCTGCCCTTAATAACCTGCACACGTGGCGCAGGGCTCTTTTTGTAGCAGGGACTCCTTTGCATATTAGGTGACACACCCCTAATGTACCCAATCCTCCAAAGTTTACAGTAGCCCCTGTAAGAAGAGCTCTGTAAGCTCTTGGAGGATTGGCTACATTAGAGGTGTGTCGCCTAATATGCAAAGGAGTTCCTGCTTAAAAAAGAGCCCTGCGTTGTAGGCATGGTATATCCAGTATGGGCTAATACATATGCCTCTCTTCTAGTGAAATCAATCGCCTGGACCTCGGGTTGACAGTGGAGGTGTGGAATAAAGGTCTCATTTGGGACACCATGGTGGGCACAGTTTGGATCCCTCTACGCACAATTCGGCAATCCAATGAGGTGTGTATAGACTTCCATTTGTGTCTCTCAATCCTGGGAACCCTTTTGTGTGTGCGAGAGGGGAATAACTCAGCTACGTAGGATATATTTATTTATTTATTTATTTATTTTATTTTATTTCACTTATACCCTGCCCTCCCCGCAAGCGGGCTCAGGGCGGCTCACATAGGCACAGCTGTGCAATAACATATGACAGGATCAAAGCAATCAAGCCACCAAGTGCAATAAAAATAGGACAAGTTAAAACAATTAAAACAAAAACTCGCATCTTGCAGGATACATTAGCAACGAAAATACTCACTCCCTATTGTATATCGCCATGGGATCAAAGAGGGGGGATGCCATGGGCCAAGATGTTCCAGGTGGCCAGTCGGCCCAACCCGGCGGTCCTGCTCTGCAGTTACTCGGTGGTGGTGGCAGCAGCGGCTCCTACTCAAAAGCCTGGCGGAAGAGCTCCGTCTTACAGGCCCTGAGGAACTGCAAGAGGTCCCGCAGGGTCCTGATCTCCTCCGGGAGCTCATTCCACCAGGTAGGAGCCGCCACCGAGAAGGACCTGGCCCTTGTGGCAGCAAACCCTGGCCTCTTTAGGACCCGGGGTCACTTTGCGGTGTTGTGACCCTGACCGAAGTGCTCTTTGGGGCCTGTATGGGGAAAGGTATATATCCTCATCTACATACAGAATACATCCTATGTATAGTTCTGGTTAGGTAAAGGTAAAGGTTTCCCTTGCTCGAAAGCCAGTCGAATCCTAGCGATGCGGTGCTCATCTCTGTTTCCAAGCCGAAGAGCCAGCGCTGTCCGAAGACGTTTCCGTGGTCACGTGGCCGACATGACTAGAGGCCGAGGCACACGGAACACTGTTCCCTTCCCACCGAAACGGTACCTATGTATCTACTTGTAGTTTCTTGCTTTCGAGCGGCTAGGTTGGCAGGCGCTGGGGCCGGAGACAGGAGCTCACTCCGTCACGCGGCACACCCGGGTCTCGAAGTTTCCCTAGGAGGCAGGTCCATAGCCAGGGTTGCGGTTACATGTGCCAGTTGAAGCAGAGGGGAAGCGAGGCTATTTCCTCCGGAGGAATTTGACACGCAGTTGCCAGATCACACCTCCCTTTGAAACTGCGGCCACAGCCTGTCAGTATGTAATCAGACGCAACTATGGGTGAGTCTTTGTTTCTTTTTTTTGCTGTTTGTTTTCCATGTGCTTAAACGAGGAATCGAGGAATCGCACCTCCGCACTGAGGGCTCCCTATGGAGTGTGTGATGATGCGCATACTGTGAAGGCGGAAAAAAACAACTGCACAGAGTCGGGATGGCCTGATCAGATCATCCCGACAGCTTCAGAGCATGCTTGAGTGATCAGACAGGGAAAAGCCCGTCCATGCAGGGCCGGCTCACCCACTAGGCGAAGTAGGCATTTGCCTAGAGCGCCGGGCCCTCGATGGGGCGCCAAGCTGTGCCTCCCCCCCTCCTCCCCCCCTTTGGTGGTGGTGGCGGCGGGGGGGGAGGCAGTGGTGGTGGCAGCAAAAGGGTGGCTGGCTCCAGAGGTCTCCAGGTCTCCAGGCCCCACCGGGAGGTTGGCATCTGCGCCATAAGACAGCCTCGCCTAGGGCGCAGAAGCACCTCGAGCCGGCCCTGCGTCCATGGCCTATCAGAACCCATTTACTACTGGACTTTCCCTGGTGTCTTTTAACTCCGCTTCTGCAGTGGAGCAGCACGGGTTGCTGACGGCTGCGGGACGCTTCCCAGATGTTGCTGTCTGATCACTCCCTTTAAATATGCCCGGCATTCGCGCCTATGTCAGGTCTAATGGTGCGTATGATTGCAACCCAGGATTTTGTGGCTTGTGGGGCAATTTCCCCCCCCTCGTGGGGCTGAAGTTCTCAGTGCAGAAAGAAAAGCCATTTAACTAATAGAAAGTTGTGACCAGAACATATCTCTGTAAATTGCAAGCTGTCAGCCACTTTGGAAGACAGTCCTCAGATGCTGCAAGTGAATCACTTCTGCCAGCCTAAGCAACCATTATCAGAACAAGCCAGCAGGTGGGGGTGATGACTTCTATAGTCAAGAAAGCTAACACTGAGGCAGAAGAAGTCTTTTAAAGGAGACCCGTTTCTTGATACAGATTTAGAAGGGATCCTAGAGGTCACCTACTCCAACCCCCTTGCTCAGTGCAGGAATTAATCAACTACAGCACACACTCTGCTTAAAGGAGTGCACGCCTTTTAAAAAATGTTTAAAATGATTGAGGGGGAAGCATATACAGGATAAATTATTGTGGGGCTGTGCCTTTAAGAAAGGGGGCGAAGCCCCCAAAAGCCTCACTGTAGCTATGGGCCTGCTAAGAGGAAAGGGTAAAGTATTGGTGTGAGGTAGGGATGCCGTACTCTCACTGGGGATGAGTGAGCCCAAATGCCCACTGGCAGCGGGCGTTTTTTAAAGCTGTCAGGGCTGCTGTCACGTCACTTCCAGGAAAACCCTGAATGTGACATCATGCTTCTCTAGGAAGCACCAGAAACTCTATGGTGAAACCACAGAGTTTGCAGCGTTTCCTAGTCAGGATTGATGCCGTTTCTGGAGAAAACCCAGACGTGGCATCAGCCCTTTCTAGGAATCACCAAGAGAGTTGTGATTCCTAGAGAGACATTATGTCACTTCTGGGTTTCCCCAAATGTGATCGATGGCCACCCCCCTCTGACCCTACCTCCCGGTCTCCCCCTGGTTCCCAGGCCATACCTGGCAACCTTAGGGAGTATGGTGTTTTTTTTAAAATAAGGGATTATTATAATAAATGTTTTAAATGTTCTATGGGCCAGCTCTCACCACGTTTTCCGATCTTGTACTATTTCTTTAGTCGTTCCATGCTCAGGCTGGTGTTGACATTTATGGTGTCTAGACACCATGTTCTTTGGCAGCCCGGTTTCCTTTTTCTGCTAACCAGCCCAATCCCAATTGCTTTTTCTAGCGAGTTCTTCTGCATGACACGGCCAAAATAAGTCAGTCACCGTTTTATGATTTTTCCTTCCGACGACACATCCAGTTTTATGTGCTCCAATACTTGCTTGTTTGTCGCCTGTGCTGTCCAAGGAATGCGCAGGAACAACTAGAATAAAGTAACGCAATACATAAATCTTGTTGGCCATTGTTGTAAGTAGGAACGGGCTTTTTTTGTAGTAAAAGCCCAGCAGGAACTCATTAGCATAATAGGCCACACCCAACAGCAGAATCTCATTAGCAGATTAGTCCACACCCCCATGCCTTCCCTTGGGGAGCCCGGGCAAGCCTCCCCCTTGAAGGGAAGGGGAGGCAGTTTAAACTGCCTTCCCTTGACTTGCCCGGGCACCCCACAGCTGTGGGGTATGCGGGCAAGCCGGCCTTGGGCAGGCCAGGGAAGGCACGGGGAGACATTTAAATGCCTCACCGATCCTTCCAGGCCCCCCCCCCCCACCCCGCCTGCCCGCCTCGGAGTTGCCGGGGGGGGGTGTAGCTCTCCATGTCTTTCCTCTATAGTCATGCACGCAGAGGTTTTGTCTGTAGTGGGTGTGGACAATTCTGAAGCCAGCCAGAACTCCGTTCCTGTGCGTTCCTGCCCCAAAATAGCCCTGAGTAGGATACTGGACTAGGTGGACCCTTGGTCTGATCCAGCTGAGATTTCCTGCAGTGCAGAATCTCTAGTTTCACCGTTCTCAAGCTGGTGCAAAAACTCTTCTCTCTTTTCCTGCCTCCCCCGCCCCTTTTGCAGGAAGGCCCGGGGGAGTGGGTCACCCTCGACTCTCACGTCATCATGACCGACAACGAGATCTCTGGGACCAAGGACCCCACCTTCCATCGCATCCTCTTGGATACCCGCTTCGAACTGCCACTGGGTACAGTCCCCGCTAACGTTTCCCTTGTACAGAGTCTTGTCAAAGCGTTTCTGAGCCCCCCCCCCCTTGTAATCCTGACAACAGCCCTCTTTGGTAGGCCAGCGTTCTTACTGCAGATGGGAAGGGCTGAAGGTGAGAAAGAATGACTTGCCCGAGGCCACTGGCCCTCAGGTCCAAGCGACCCCAATCTCATCAGCTCTCGGAAGCTAAGCAGGGTCGACCCTGGTTAGTATTTGGATGGGAGACCGCCAAGGAAGTCCAGGGTTGCTACGCAGAGGCAGGCAAGGGCAAACCACCTCTGAACGTCTCTTGCCTTGGAAACCCTACAGGGTCAACATCATAGGTCATCTGTGACAATGACATTTTCCATCACCACCGAGGCCATCTGACCAGCCTGTGTCAGAGGTGAGAATTAAACCAGAGACCTCTCATGTCTCTCTCTCACACACACACACATACTTACACACCGTGCTCTGTGCCGCTGTGCAATGCTGGCTTTTGCTATACCAAAAAAGAAAAAGGAAGAAATACGGACACGGAAAGACTATCATACAAGATTGTACTTTGCCTGGCGCGGAATTTGGCACAGGCTTTTCCCTTTATGTTTAGTTAAGAAACAAATCCCAAACTGCTCCCATGAACATAAAATTCAAAGGAGGCTGTCTGTCACATCTCTGCATGCTTCCCTGTTCTGTCTGTGCCTCCACTTAGGGGGGATGGGAGGCCTGACATATCTCTGTATTAAGAGTGATTATCCTTCAACCAATATACAGTAGCCTATAATGCTGCAGAACAGGTCGCCTTTTGGTGCTGCTGATTGTATGAACTAGTTCCATCTCTCTCTCTCTCTTCCCATGCAGATATCCCCGAGGAAGAAGCCCGCTATTGGGCCAAAAAACTGGAGCAGCTCAATGCCATGCGAGACCAGGATGATGTGAGTGAATGACGCCTAATCCAGCCTCTCTCCTGGGTTTAAAATGGGATATTTTGTAGGTAGAGAGAAAGGGCTTTTCCACATCCTCATTTTCCTCACTTGTAAGTTGCTGCTTCTTCGGGGGAAGGGGGAGTGTGTTCTGTTCTGCACATGTTTTGTTCCCAGTAGGGTAGTAGTCGATTCGATATTGCACTGCCTTAGGTCTAGCATTATCTCCCTGCAGATTTAAGCTGCAGGTTTTAATGCCTGACATAAACTGGTGTAATATCAAATTGACAACAGGAACAAGAGGAAAAAAAGAGAATGCAAAAAAGCAGAGAGAGAGAGAGAGACATGCAAAGAAGCAAAAGGAAGAGAGAGTCTTTAAGACCAGGAAGAGTTTGTAAATCAAGCAGAGTAGATTCTCCTTTTTCAACCCATATATATGATGTGATCAAACCCTCTCCCCACTGCCCCTGCACAAACACAGAGCTGTTATAAGCTGTAGAAAAGGAAAGGGGAAATCAAGGAAACAGGACAACCTGTCTATTTTAAGGGTTAATAAATAATATACTGATAATTTAAAAGTCTCCTAGGGAAGTCTGCAAAGCTTACCAGTCTTTCCAAATGTAACTTCTAGCAACTTCTGGAGAGATGAGATGATAATAAGCATTTTTTGAGAGCTAGTAATTTCTGCAGACTTTCTTATGAGACTATTTCGGATTGTGGATTGTACCTACAGACTAAGCAGTTCCAAGAAGGATATCTGTCAGTCCGCCACCCGCGGATTGTGAATGTTACCCAGCAGAGAAATATAGACACCCACCGCCAGGGCCGGCTCGCTCACTAGGTGAACTAGGCGTTCGCCTAGAGTGGGCTGGCCCTTAGGGGCGCCAAACTGCACCCGGCCCCCCCGCCAAAAGCCCCCCTACCCAGCGTGGCCCATTCCTGTGACCTGCCAGCCTGTGGGAGGCTCCGTCGGCAGGAGCCGGGAAAGGTGCTGGGCGAGGCAGCACCTGGGCAAAGTGGGTCAGTCGGTGCGGAAATCCTCTGGCCGGTGGCAGCAAGCAGCACCCAAGGGAGGAGGGGAGGGGGCAGCGCACGGGGGGCGGCAGAAGGGATCCTTGCCTAGGGTGCAAAATAAGCTGGGGCTGGCCCTGCCGACCGCCAATCATTTTCAGTTCATTCCAGCTCTAAAGATTCCGCCTGTTCATAACGAAAAACCAAAAATGGACTGTGCAAGTGAGGCTTTAGTCTATGTCCTGCAGAATGCTGGAGATTCATGATTCTCATTCCAAATGTTTGTGCCAGTCGTATTGCTAGAGACAGAGTGGCAGTGGAATACCAGAGGGCCTGAAGGGAGGGATTGTCAAGGGACCGTGGCAGAATAGAGATCCTGGATCTCAGTCTTTAAGAGACAAATGGCAGCCGCATGCCCACACATTTCTGATCAGATCTTTCAAGTAATTGAAGGGTGGAGCAGAGTTGCCAAGAAGGTCAGACCAGAACCAACGGATTGACATTAAATCAAAAGGGGTTTTGGCTAAACAGTAGGAAGGACTTCGCGGTTCTTCAGTAGAACGGGCTTACTCAGGAGATGGTGGGCTCTCCTTCTTTGGAGGTTTTAAAATCAGAGGCTAAATGGCCATCTGACAGCAACGCTGATTCTGTGAACGTAGGCAGATTGTGAGACGGGAGGGCAGGAAGGGTTGCCTCAGTGCTTAGTTCTCATGGCCCTTTCTTACACGCCCAGGGTAATGCCAATCACCACTTTGGGGTCAGGAAGGAATTTTCCTCCAGACCAGACTGGCCTAGGGATCCTGGAGGTTTTTTTGCCTTCCTCTGGGCATAGAGCAGGGGCGTCATTGGGGGACTGGGGATGGGAGGTAGTTGTGAATTTCCCGCATTGTGCAGGAGGGTTGGACTAGATGACCCTTGAGGTCCCTTTTGGCTATAGGTTTCTACGATCCACATGGAAAGGAGGAGGAGGAGGGATTTAACCCTTCAACCTTCTGTTGTTTTCGCTAATCCAAACAGGGCTTCCTGTGCAGTTATTAGCACTTAACAGGGGGAAGGAAAGGTACCCTCTAAAAACCGATGGATTTTCTCTCCCCCCCCCTCCATTCTGACATGCTAATAGCAGCTTGGCTGGTGAAGTGGCCAAGGGCAACTCTTTGTCATCTTCCACATGATGGCTCTTCACATACCTGAAGAATTGCATTCACATCATTAGGGATTAGTCTCTGGAGGAAAGAAATTACAATCTAAGCAACACAGCTCTTTGATCCTCACAGTGTATGTGTGGGGGGGAATACCTGTCAGGGCTCTTTTTGTAGCAGGAGCTCCTTTGCATATTAGGCGACACGTCCCCTAAGGTAGCCAATCCTCCAAGAGCTTACAGTAGCCCCTGTAAGAAGAGCTCTGTAAGCTCTTGGAGGATTGGCTACATTAGGGGTGTGTGCAGGGCTCTTTTTGTAGCAGGAGCTCCTTTGCATATTGGGTGACACGCCCCCTAAAGTAGCCAATCCTCCAAGAGCTTACAGTAGCCCCCGTAAGAAGAGCCCTGTAAGCTCTTGGAGGATTGGCTACCTTAGGGGGCGTGTCGCCTAATATGCAAAGGAGCTCCTGCTACAAAAAGAGCCCTGCAAGGCTGTTGTTCTGTTTTCAAACGCCATGCTGACCCTTTTGCTTTTCATTTCCTCTCCCTCTGCCCCCTCCCCGACAGTATTCGTTCCGGGAAGAGCAAGAGAAACCCCTTCCAGTGCCGGGCTCACAGTGCTGTAAGTGAATTTCATACCTGTGGGGTGCTCCCCCCCACCCAGCACAGGCTTATTATATACCTCCCCCCCACCACCACTGTATTTGGGTGTCGGTATCGCTCAGCTCTTGAGGAGATTGGCCAGAGTGGGTGGCCAGAGAAAGAGTCATTGCTTCCACCGTTTCTTCGCAACCCTTCCCTCTGTGTTTTCCTACCTCTTCCCTTTGTCCCCCCTCCCACCATGTTCCCCCACCTTCCGTTGACTGTTGAACAGTACTGGGTGGGGGACACAGTCCCCCTGGGCTGAAAAGCGTCCATATGTACTAGGAAGGTGAAGTGGAACCCCCGGGGGGTGTTAAGGAAGGAGGGCTCAGTGGAGTGACCCAACTGTGGCCATGCCACAAGGTAACGCACGAAGCTGCCTTATACTGAGTCAGACCCTTCGTCCATAAAGGTCAGTATTGCCTACTCAGACTGGCAGTGGCTCACCAGGGTCTCAGGCAGAGAAAGGCCTTTCACATCACCTACTGCCTGGTCCTGTCAACGGGAGATGCCGGGGATTGAACCTGGGACCTTCTGCACGCCAAGCAGATGCTCTGCCACTGAGCCACAGCCTCCTCTGTAGCTCTGTAGGGTCTCAGGCGGAGGTCTTTCACATCACGTACTGCCTGGTCCCGTCAACTGGAGATGCCGGGGATTGAACCTGAGACCTTCTGCACGCCAAGCAGATGCTCTGCCACTGAGCCACAGCCCCCTCTATAGCTCTCCAGGGTCTCAGGTGGAGATTGGCTACATTAGAGGTGTGTCGTGAGTCCAGGGCTCTTTTTGTAGCAGGAACTCCTTTGCATATTAGGCGACACACCCCTAATGTAGCCAATCCTCCAAGAGCTTGCAGTAGCCCCTGTAAGAAGAGCTCTGTAAGTTCTTGGAGGATGGGCTACGTTAGGGGTGTGTGGGCTCTTTTTGTAGCAGGGACTCCTTTGCATATTAGGCCACAAACCCCTGATGTAGCCAATCCTCCAAGAGCTTACATTAGACCCTGTAAGAAGAGCTCTGTCAGCTCTTGGAGGATTGGCTACATTAGGGATGTGTCCGGCAGTAAAGAGCCCAGGGCGCGGGCACATGCACACAAGCCCCGCCCCCTGCTCCCAGCAGCCCCCCACCCCGGTCCAAAACGGTCCAGTGGCACCTTTAAGACCAGGTTTTATTCAGGTACAAGCTCTCCCTCCTCTGCGAGGCTAGATCTGCACGTCCCCCCCCCAATAGCTAGCCATCCAAAACAGTCCAGTGGAGCCTGAGCGGTGGGGTGTTGCCTTCTGACACACGTCCGGTGATGACAGGGGGTGTGGCATATGCAAATAGGTTATGCTGATGAGTTATGCGAATGAGCTCCTGCACCTCTTTTTCTACGGAATGACCCCTGGATCAATGGAACCTCTGTGTTCAAAGGCCGCCTGCCTCTGCTGATCAGTGGTTGGAGGACAGACATTGGACGGAAAGGTTCTTTGCCTTCGAGCCTGACTTCAGTGCCCGATGCACATCTGACTGCAGAGTCCTCCCCCGGCATCTCTTCTTCCCTTCTGGAACTGAAAGTATTGGCTGTGTTAAGAGTGGGCCTGTCTCTCAAAGGGACATGTCTTTTGGCTTTCTTTATAGGCAACTGGAATTATTTTGGCTGGGGAGATCAACAAAGTAAGTATCCGAAACCTCCCGACCCCCTCCCCAGAGACTTTTCGCTATCTCTCTGACTGAGGACAAGTCCGATTCTAGCAAGTTCACCTTTTTCAGAAGGCATAGTCACGACACTGGCGGCTCAGGGGAACAGTGGGAAAGGGTTAGGGCATGATCCAGAGAGGGGCGTTTCTCGTGGCCCTTCCTGCACTCTCCTTTTAATCCGTGTCCACCACAGGGTCCTCCAAGGAATTCTGCACTAAAATCAAATTCAACCTTCTTTTTAATCCAGATTCCCCCCCCAATTCTGCATTAATATAGAGTTCAGCCTTCTTTTTATTCTGGGTTTCCCCCCCCCCATTCTGCACTACATTCCCTCGCTTCAGTGGTCAGCCCGGTTTCAGCCTGCTGTTGCCCCGGGGTTATTTGGATGCTGTTTTGCCCTGGACTTAAATTCCCTCGACTCGGACACTGAGAAAACCCGGAGTGGCAGGCAAATGCGGAAATGACCCTTGTTGATAGCTGGTGGCTCCGCGACCACTCTGTGCACTCATGTGCTGTGGGCAGAACCAGGGGTCATTTCCTGCAGGAGCGCACAGGAGCGGAGCTCCGATAGTAACGAGCCCAGGGGGCGGGCACATGCAACAAGCCCCACCCCCTGCTCCCAGCAGCCCTCAATCAGAACAAGAAGCAGCCAGGGAAGCTGCAGAGGCCCCCCCTCCCCCGGTCCAAAACAGTCCAGTGGCACCTTTAAGACCAAGTTTTATTCAGGTACAAGCTCTCCCTCCTCTGCGAGGACAGATCTGCACGTCCCCCCCCCCAATAGGTAGCCATCCAAAACAGTCCAGTGGAGCCTGAGCGGTGGGTGTTGCCTTCTGACACACTTCCTGTGATGTCAGGGGGTGTGGCATATGCAAACAAGTTATGCTATTGAGTTATGCTATTGAGCTCCTGAACCTCTTTTTCTACGAAACGACCCCTGGGCAGAACCAACAGGGGAGCTTCTCAGAGCTCTTTCACTAGGGATGGTTTCAGATTTCACGCTGTTGCTATTTCGACCCACTCTTGCTTCTCCTTTGTGCAAATCACACCCCTGATTCTTTCTTTGCATGCCATTGCATCCTCGCTTCAAAATCTTCCCCGGGGCAAGAATGAATGCCCCTTTCAATGTTATTTTGTGTGTCCAAAAATGAGCTGAAACATGATACTGATAAATGACACAGAAATACCCTAGACATTGACACTCCCAATTGTACAGCGTGCATACTTGATGCCGACCCGCTTGTAACAGGCAGCGAAAAACGGAGAACCCGGAGCAAAACTAAAAATAAAATAAATGGGGAACATTCGTTCAGCCTTACCTTTCACATGTTCCCTGGCAAGGGGCCCCTAGAATGAGACCCTGGGCCGTCCCAATAATAATGACACGGGTAGAAATTTCGTATGACTCCGAAAAGCAAGTCGCATATTCGGCGGCTGGCTCTCACATTTCGGGTAATCAAATGAAGGGTATTCCTCAAGGAGTGCTAAGGAAAGGGGCCATTTTTTTCAAAACTGCCAACAGTGCTCAGTTTAAAAAATGAATTAATCTGGCTCCAACCTAATTTGTGCAATTGTAATATTTTGTTCAAAGTATGGATGGGCAAAATATTCTTTAAGCTGCTATCTAGGGTTGCCAGGCTGAGGCAACCGGTATGGGGGGGGGAAACATGGGGGGGACTGTCACCCTCATGATGATGTCACTTCTAGGGAATACCTGGAAACAATGCAGTAGCTCTAGGAATCACTGAAAACTCTATGGTAAAACCACAGAGTTTCCGGTGATTCCTAGAGTCACTGTCGTCACTGCCAGGTATTCCCCAGAAGTGATACCATCGTGCCGGCGATGCCAGTATGTGTTTATTAATTAAAACTTTTTATGTATTTGAATTTTTAATCCCCACCACCACTGCTGCTGCTTGAAATGGGAACTTGGGGGGGAGGAAATCCCCTGCCCTAGCCAGAGGCTCAGTTGCCCTAGTGCCATCCTAGGTACACCTTCTTGGGAGTAAGTTCCATTGAACTCAGTGGGGCTTCCTTCTGAGTACACACAGATAGGATTTTCTAGAAAAAATAAAAAATGTGGGGTGTCAGGGGGAGAAGGGGAGAAAATGTTAGTTCTATGCAAGTTTTTGGTTTGGCCTTGAACTCAGAGCAGGTTGGCTTGGTGCCCACACACAGCAAAATGAGGTGGCAATATTCTGAGGAGACAGAATGTGTCATACTGCTTCAGACAGCGGGGGACAGGTGTACAGGTATTTCCCACCCAAGCCAGTCCAGGAATGGGAGGGAACCCTGTACTTTTACAGTACATTAAACAACAACCCGAGAGGTAGTCTATACCCTCTCTGGTTTTCAGAACCATATGCCACCAGAACCTCTACAGTAGTTCCCCCCAACCTGAGATTAGAGGTTCATACTCTCAGTTGGTATCTGGAACTTAACACATTAGCAACTCACTCCCAGAGATGCACACTTTTTACTTTCGATTAGTAGCGTATATGGTGAGCATTTAGGCCACAAGATTTAGCCTTGGAATTCAGGTACAACATCAAAGACAATTTTAACAATCAGAGGAATCTTTATTTAGTACAGAGTTTAGCACAGACTACCAGAGTTTACCAAAATAACAAGCCTAAGGCGATTTGCATTAACTACACAGTAAAAGATACATATTTACCAAGTTCAGGAATATCCAAACAGTCCAAGGGATTTTGAAGGAAAAATCCATCTTTGCTCAACCATGTGGTCCAATTCACAAAACAGTTCTTTGTCCCTCACGAGACCAACTTCCAGCTTCTCCATGATGTACGTGACATGGCCCATGTAGCCTTAAAGCAGGCGCCTTGAAGTCTAGCTCTTCCACTTAGAGGTGTGAAAGAATGTGTGGTTATATGGCATGGTTATTGAGGTTGTTCAGGCCATCTGGTCTGCCCTGGACCATTTGGCCTGCACAGGAAACAGAGACATAGAATGTCATCACAGGAGACTTGTAGAAATCAATATTTCTATACCAGGTCATATTCTTAATGTTCCTCCATGTAAAAATTCTCTATAAATGGGGGAGGGAATCAACAAATGAGGGAGAAAAGTCCAAGCTTGGCCTTTGCATGTTCTGCTAGTGTTTTATTGCCAGGGAGAGCCAGTTTGATGTAGTGGTTAGGAGTGCGGACTCTGATCTGGGAGAACCAGGTTTGATTCCCCACTCCTCCACATGCAGCTGCTGGTGTGACCTTGGGTCAGTCGCAAGTTTTTTCAGAGCTGTTCTCTCACAAGCAGTCCTTGAAAGAGCTCTCTCAGCCCCACCTCCCTCACAGGGTGTCTGTTGTGGGGAGGGGAAAGGAAGGTGATTGTAAGCGGCTCTGAGAGGTGATTGGGTAGTGAAAGGCGGGGTATAAATCCAATCGCTTCTTCTTCTTCTTCTAATGTGGAGGGAACTTGGAAAAAAATATATAAAACCTCCTCTGCCTTCCATGCTGCCACCTCAGCCTTCTGCCATTTTGTGGCTGCCTCACTCCGCTGCATGGATGACTAGCCCTTCGGGGCTGAGATTCAATCGGGATAGATTTGCTTGCTGAGGGGCTCCAGCCTGTATTCCCTCATGTACACCCCCTTGCCCTCCCTTTTCTTCTCTCCTCACTCCATTCCATTGATAGCCACAAAAAGTAAGCATTCTCCCCCCCCCAAAAAAAAACCCACTTGGCATGACCAGGGGTCATTTCGTGCAGGAGCGCACAGGAGCAGAGCTCCGGCAGTAAGGAGCTCAGGGGGCGGGCACATGCAACAAGCCCCGCCCTGTGCTCCCAGCAGCCCTCAGTCGGGCCACGAGGAGCAATAAGCAGCCAGGTAAGTTGCAGAGCCCCCCCCCCGGCCCGCCTTCAGGTACAAGCTCTTCCTCCTCTGCGAGGACAGATCTGCACGTTCCCCCCCCCCAAATAGCTAGCAATCCAAAACAGTTCAGTGGAGCCTGAGCGGTGGGTGTTGCCTTCTTACACACGTCCGGTGATGTCAGGGTGTGTGGCATATGCTAATGAGTTATGCTAATGAGCTCCTGCACCTCTTTTTCTATGAAATGACCCCTGGGCATGACTAAACAGTTTTCTGCTTATCCGTGCAGCATGATGTGCCTCTTTTTCTGTTCTCAGTGTTGGCTCCCTTTTTCACCTCTCGGATTGCATTTTTACTTTCTTTCAGAAGTTCTTCATTCTCCTTGCTGAACTCTCTGTACTCTCCTCTCTTTTTCCATGTTTTTTTTTAAATTGTTGTTGTTGTTCTCCTTCTGGTATCCTCATGCTCTATAACCCCCAAATTTGCATCTTCTGTTCCCCAACTGGTCCTTTCCTTTCTTGAAACCATCAGAATTCCCTGCCACCCTGCACAGGACCTAATTCCTGTAGAACACCTTAAAAAGGATATTATAGCTTTGGAAAAAGTGCAGAAAAGGGCAACTCGAATGATAAAAGGGTTGGAACACTTTCCCTATGAGGAAAGGTTAAAGCGCTTCGGGCTCTTTAGCTTGGAGAAACAACGACTGAGGGGTGACATGAGCGAGGTTTATAAGATTATGCATGGGAAAGAACAGGTAGAGAAAGAGGTACTTTTCTCCCTTTCTCACAATACAAGAACTCGTGGGCACTCCATGAAATTGCTGAGCAGTCGGGTTAGAACGGATAAGAGGAAGTACTTCTTCACCCAAAGAGTGATTAACACTTGGAATTCACTGCCACAGGAAGTGGTGGCGGCTACAAGCATGGACGGCTTCAAAAGGGAATTAGAGAAGCATATGGAGCAGAGGTCCATCAGTGGCTATTAGCCACAAGGTGTAGATAGGGACTCTGGGGCAAGGGATGCTCTGTCTTCTTGGTGCTTGGGGGGGGGGGTCAGCAGTGGGAGGGCTTCTAATGTCCTGGCCCCACTGGTGGACCTCCTGATAGCACTGGTATTTCTGGCCACTGTGGGATACAGAGTGTTGGACTGGATGGGCCTTTGGCCTGATCCAACATTGGCATCTCTTATGTTTTTAACACACTAGGAATTTACATCCGTAAAATCTAGTTCCTGATGTTCTATCACACTCTTGGGGGACCCAAGAAGTCGAAATTAGTCTGGAAGTATGCCAACAGAAAGGCGGAGTTATTCAAAAAGGAGCTTGGTTTTCAGTGGTTATGTGCCACGGAAACAGGTAGCAAATTTAACACACCCCTGATGGTATCCCCAAGGTCTTCCTTTCCTTTTCTGTGGTCTAGGGGCCAAACTAGCCATGGTGGCATTCTCGTGGCAACCACAAGGACACTGCCGCCATTTTAAAGTCACCTGTTTGCCTTTTTGAAATAGCTACAGAGGAGGGTGCAACCGTGTCAGTGCCTGATGAGATGTGGAGGGGGGGGGACAAGAGCGCCTCAGCCCGCTGCATTTCAGACGTGATCAGGATTGGGCCCTCGTGGTACTTTTAAATGACTACAAAATGGCAGCAGCTTCCTCATGGCAGCCACGAGTGTCAGACTCCTGCAGCAATCAGAGCCAACAACTCTCTTCTTCAGAAGTATAGTTTATTGGTACCGTATTGGCAGAACATCTACATTCCGGGATCTGTGTTAAGGCTAACGGAAAAGGCACGGGGATGGGAGATATACTGGGTTCAAAGGCGCGTAGCCGATCAAGGCATTAGGAGGAGCCCTCCAGAAGTAACGGGCCCCGGCAACAGGATAGTTCTCAGGGAATGTGTCACAGCTAGGCACTCAAGGTCAGGCACATAAAATACATAGGTCGAATCTGCATTTGCATTTTTAAATCAGTTTCATGCTGGTGTGACGCCGTCTTTCCCTCTGCTTGTTTGAATGTTGTTTGGAGAAGCTTCTTTTAAAGCAGTGCAGAGGTGCAATGACAGTGAAGCCGCCACGAAAGGGCAACAGACATATGCAGACGTGCAAAAGTATGCTAGCACTGTTGAGGTGTGAGAACGACACCAAATGTAGACAGCTTTTCTAAAGACTGTGTCAGAAGGCTGGGACACCGGTGGGAAAGACAAATGCAGATTCGACCATAGATAACAGAGTATTTTCAGGCAGTAAGAAATGAAAGTTAAAATACCAGGCAGTGGTCACTCCCCTCCTCCACTCTATATGTCAGCTCCCTGACAATGAGGACACGGCTGTGTCTAGTTTATCTCACCCTTTTCAGATGCAGGGCCCAACTTCAACCCCTAGGCTGCAGCGTGAGATCCACAAAGCACATAACAGAAAGGCACATGACATCACAGTCACGTGACAGAAAGAAGAGGAGCCAGTCTTTGTACAAGCCTAGGCAAAAAAGGACCTATTGTGTGAAACTCGCTTCGCCATCCTGCTGCTCCGGTCAGGATTTCAAGCTGCATACCCAAAAGTGATGGCATGGCACCATATGACACTCTAGGAATTCCCCCAAACTCTGTGGTAAAAACCATAGAGATTTGGGGAATTCCTAAAGTATCACTAACACAGTGATGATGTCACTTCTGGATATGCAACTGGAAATGATGTCATAGTGTTGCGTGATGCTGGTTTTCAGATTCTGTGCCCCCTTCACGCTGGGACAGCCTTGCTCTCTGCACAAACACGTTAGCAACAGCCTTCCAAAAAAAGTAGCCAAAAATGGCAGCTCTGTAGGGGGCTCACAGGTCACGATGACCCAGCAGGTCGGGCTCCACAACCTATTTGAGAGGCATAAGAACATAAGAGAAGCCAATGTTGGATCAGGCCCATCTAGTCCAACACTCTGTCACACAGTGGCCAAAAACACCAGGCGCCATCAGGAGGTCCAGCAGTGGGGCCAGGACACTAGAAGCCCTCCCACTGTTGCCCCCCGCCGAGCCCCAAGCATACAGAGCATCCCTTGCCCCAGCCTGAGAGTCCCTATCTATACCTTGTGGCTAATAGCCACTGATGACCCTCTGCTCCATATGCTTATCTAATTCCCACTTGAAGCCGTCCATGCTTGTAGCCGCCGCCACCACCTCCTGCGGCTGTGAATTCCATGTGTTAATCACTCTTTGGCTGAAGAAGGCCTGACTCTTGATCCTAAGTCCATGGACCTAAATGAATTGTAAAGCCCATCCTTTGGAGGAAAATTTCAACAAGAGGAAACCTGCCCCTTTACCTGACAAACTAAGCAGTCTGGCTTTTCTTGAAAGGAGACACACACCCCCGCAAGCTGGTGTGCAGAGAGAAGCAAGTAGCAGTGAGACAGAATTTCAAAAACTGTCTGATTTGATTAGAATTTCAGATGTCCCTTGTGAGAAACAAACCCAAGGGGGCGAGTTCTGATTTTTTGCACCCGTTTCTCCTTCCTTATACCGATCTCTCCCTCCCATTAGAATCTGTGCATTTTTCAACATTGTGTTGCAGCCAGTATTCCCTCTAAGCTGAGTTAGTGTGAGCTAGCTCACAGTTTTTTAGCCTCCAGCTCACACATTTCTGTCTTAGCTCAGGAAAGATGGCTCCAGACAGAGGTCATTTCGGGGGGGATCGCGGGGGATCGCAGTTTCCCCGGGTGAGGTACGGGGGGCTTGGAAGGTCATGACTGACCGGCAGGAATTCAGGAGAGCCGTTTCTTCACATCTCACCGCTTGGGTTCCTGCAGCTGTTAAAGGAGCAGGCACCTTGCTAGGAAAAGCTGTTGGTGGTTTCTCCATACTCCACTCATGGGTTACCCTTTGCTGATAAGAACTGGGGCATATCTGTTTAGTGGTTCACAGCTCTTTTTTTATCCGGTGATGTCAGGGGGTGTGGCCTTATGACACACTTCCGGTGATGTCAGGGGGTGTGGCATATGCTAATGAGTTATGCTAATGAGTTCCCCTAGCTCTTTTTCTACGAAACGGCCCCTGGCTCCAGAGCAAACTAATTTAGGCAGTAGCCCAATCGCTCGCTCACAACTTCAATGCCAGTAGCTCACAAAGCAGATTTTTTTGCTCACAAGACTCCATAGCTTAGAGGGAACAAGGGTTGCATCTACTGCAAATGTCAGGGGGCCTTAAATGACAATATGAGGAGTTAAAAAGCAAGATGCGGGTCCAGTAGCACCTTAAAGGCCAACAAGGTTCGAGTCGAAGTTCCCATTGTCAGATGAGGAATTCAAAAGGGGGGGTGGAAATGGCCGTATCTGTTCATTGTCCCTACTTGTGAGGAATCCTCGCAGTCCACAAACCTTTCTTCTGTATCCGTGTGCTGTTGGTTATAATAGAAAGCCATTTGCTAGCTCCGTGACTCACTTGGTGTGATGCCGGACCCCCTTTTCCAGATGACGACCCCGACAGCACCGTGGACGACCGGGACAGCGACTACCGCAGTGAGACCAGCAATAGCATTCCGCCCCCATACTACACCACCTCCCAGCCCAATGCGTCAGTCCACCAGTACCCCATGCGCCACCAGCAGCGAGCATCCCACGACTCCTACCCAGAGAACTATGAGATGGACTACTCAGATCATCGGCCAATCAGGTAAAGTGGGAAGCGCCTGAAAGTGTCGTGGAAAGGGCCCAAGGACATTCTGCTAAGGAAAGATCCCCTTACCTTGCAGAGAGAATATGGGTGGAGGGGGTACACGAGGGCGTGCTATGGGGGGTGGTTCAGAGATGGTCCCCAACAGGGGTTCACCAAATGACCCTTGGAAGATCACAAGGGCAGAGTCTCCCCTGTTCTTTTCCGCCCTTAGTAACTTAAGATATACTCCCTCTAAATACAGAAAATCCATTTATTTTTTACTGATTATGGGAAGTTGTATGCAATTTTTTTAAAAACTTTTTAGGAAAAAATGGAGTAAACATCTCTCTGTCTCTCCATCTCTCTTGATCTTTTACCCATACACACACAAAACACAAACACACACACACAGAACAACCCCCAGGTACAGGGCATTACAGCTAGCCATCGCATGGGGTGCTTGCCCCTGTGTATTCACTCAGGCCCTTCTCATCCCTGCCTGCAGCTGGAACTATCACATGACTTTTCTAAACATGTAGATTGGGTCGTGACTACATCATGTGACTTTTCTGAACATGTGACTCGGGAGGGGAGTGACTTGACTCCATCACACGACTCTTCTGAATGTATGGCGCAGGGAGTAACTCTGTGATGTCACATTTCTGAACGTGTGACTCGGGAGGGGGAGTGACTCAACTCCATCACATGACTTCCCAGAGGGTGTGGCTCAGGTGGTAACTTCGTCACGTGATTTTTCTGAACAAATGGCTTCGAGAGGGGGAGGACTTCCGTCACGTGAACTGTTTTTGAATGTCTCACTCAGGTCTAAGCCGTGCATAGCCTCCTTTGCCCTCGAGGGCCAAACGGTCCCCCCCCGCTCCACTCCCTAACAACCATCTGGAGCAATCTCTGGATGCCACAAGGTCCTGGTTTTTGTCTGTTTGGCTTGTGTTATGCCTGTTGTATGCTGATCCTCTTCCTCTTCCCCCCCTCCTCCGGCAGACGCTATGGTAGCGTAGATTCTGCCGCAAACGGGCGCAGTGATGCTGAGTCCGCTTCCGAATCGAGCAGGCATACCAGCCGCCAGCCCTCCCTCGAGAGCAGGCACTCCCTAGACCTATCTGATAGGTGGGTCTTTATCTTCTCTTTCGCCGTGTGCCTCTTATTTGCAGAGTACTGTGGTAGTTTCTGGTTTGTAACCTGGGTTAGGCCGTTATCACCCATCCAGCTGGAGCAGCCGTCTCCCCCCCACCTCCAAAAAACACCCCATTTTTTAAATTCTCAAACAAAACAGAATTTGAACTCAGGTTTTGCCTGGGCTCCGAACTGTTTCTCAAGGCTGATTTATTTATTTATTTATTTATTATTTGTTGGGATTTTTACCCCGCCCTCCCCGCAAAGCGGGCTCAGGGCGGCTTACAAGGGGCAAAGCCCATATAAAACAGGATAAAAGCAATAAAAACATTAGTAACAATTAGTCACAACAACAATTCTTAAAGGCATGTTGCAGAGTGTTTTTTGTTCACTCCCCCACCACCCATAGGCGTAATCTTCGTGGGGGCGGTGGGGCGTTAGCCCCCACCAAAATTTTCAGGAAGGTGCTCAGCCTCCCCCGGGAGCCACCCTTGCTCCTAGCAAAGCAATGCCTCTGGCCCAGCCCCAGCCCCCCCCCCCCGGGAAATTGGAAAGTCTACACCCTTGCCACCACCCCCAAAGTATCTGAAGGGTTTTTGGAGAACAGGGTGTCATTTCCAAGCACTTTGATTTCGGCTTTTTAACTGCTCGTTAAGCACGGCTTCTTGGACAGAAATAAATTCTGCAAACGAAGCGCACTGGAATGCTTAATTAAAGGAGAACACGCACAACTATACACAGTGGGCTGCGGTCATTTCATATTCTCAAAAATGAGGCCAAACTTAGGGTGGCTAAATTCCAGGTGGGGGGTGGAGTATTCCTAGGATTACAACTGATCTACCGACTATGGAGATCGGTTCCTCTGGACTCTATAGCGTCACATCTCTACTGAGCCGAATTATGCCCGAACCACTGCCCGAATTATGCCCGAACCACTGCCCGAATTATGCCCGAATTATGCCCGAACCACTGCCCGAATTATGCTCTTCCCAGGCTGAACCCCCAATTTTCCAGGGATGTCCTGACCTAGAGTTGGCAACTCTACTGTATAGTTAGTGGCCTGTCTAGCATTGTTCTCCTCACCCTCCTTTCATGAAAACAGCAGCTGGTCACTGCCAGCCTCCACGGCCCCAAACCCTTTCATTCCCACACCGACGCTGTGTTCAGCCACAGTCTGTTATTTTCGCTCTCCCCCTCAAATGTTTAATGCTCACCAAACGGAGCTGAAATTAAATTTGGCTGAGATGCGGGGATGGACAAAATTCCCAAGCAAATCCTCCTTGCGGGAATTCACTTATGAGGATTTTGTTTGTATTCCCCTCAGGAAAAAAAAAAGTGTTAGATTTAAACGATTTGCAGCAGAACAAAAAAACAAAATCGAAAGCAAGAATGAGATGAGGCTAGCCCGTAACGATTGCTTTACAACGCAATGGCCAGTTACTGTAAATAAATGCTAAAAAAAATGTCTCTTCCGAGAAAGGATGTCTCTCCAAAGTCACATTTGAAAAGTGGGATCCGAAAAGGGTCAGGATCCTAACTGGAGAAACTGAATTTGGAAATTTTGTGGCTTTTTGAATCAGTGCTAGATTTCAGTTCACCCTTTATTGCTGAGGGCTTGAACTTGAGAGGCTGAGTTAGCTCAAGTTTCCGTGACCTCTCCCGGTGCAGAAAGGAGGGACATTCTTTTCCACCTTCAGCCCCCCATGACTGACAGTCAGCATAAAACCTCTGGGTTTCTCAAACCTGGTAAAAACGTGTCCCTTCTTTCCTCATTTGGTCCACAGAACAGCACCTTTCACCTGCTGCATTTCAGACTCCACCAGATTTCGAGGGGCTGCGGGCCAAATTCCCTCCAGTGCCACCCCCACCCCCACTATGAACACCACCCCTTTGGGCATGTTTGCACACACACAAGGACCAAGAGTGGGGAGCTGTGTGCATCCTTTTCACTCTCTCACGAGTGTGGGCAAGTAGGGTTGTCAGCCCCCCAGTGGGGGTAGGGAATCCCCTGTCCCCGCCTCTTGTTTAGTGGTAAAGTAAAGGTAAAGGTTCCCTTGCTCGAAAGCCAGTCGCGTCCGACTCTAGGGTTGCGGTGCTCATCTCCGTTTCAAAGCCGAAGAGCCAGCGCTGTCCGAAGATGTTTCCTTGGTCATGTGGCCGGCATGACTAAACACCGAGGCGCACGGAACGCTGTTCCCTTCCCACCGAAGTGGTCCCTATTTATCTACTTGCAATTTCTTGCTTTCGAACTGCTAGGTTGGCAGGAGCTGGAACCAGAGACGGGAACTCACTCCATCATGCGGCACACTCGGGCCTCGAACTGCTGAACTACCAACCTTCCACAGCCTGCAGTTCAGCGTCTTAACCACCTGAGCCACCGCAGTTTAGTGGTAGTGGGGGGAATATTTTTTTAATGCCCAGGGAACCGGGAAGTGGCATCAAATCCAGTGTTCCCTCTAAGCTGAGTTAGTGTTGAGCCAGCTCACCGTTCTTTAGCCTCCGGCTCACACCTTTTTGTCTTAGCTTAGGAAGGAGGGCTCCAGAGCAGACTAATTGAGGCAGGAGCCAAATCGCTCGCTCACAGCATTAATGCCAGTAGCTCACAAAGTAGGATTTTTGCTCACAAGACTCCACAGCTTAGAGGGAGTACTGGTGGCCACCAAAGGTGCGCTGCTGACCTTGGACGTCTGCCCTTAAGCCGCGTTGCACCTTCCTGTCCTTGCCTCCAAAGAGCTTCTAATATAAACTTCAGGGCGCTTTATCCTCCAGGCTCCTGAACGGGGCAAGACCCGCTTAGCGTCAGCAACAAAACTGTGCCCACCTCCTTTGCTGATCCGACTGGAGACCGCACGGCCTCAAGAAAGCCGCCTGGTTTGCTCACCCTCTGAAAATTCTCCCTGTCCAGCAGGGACTCATTAGCATAATAGGCCACACCCAGCAGCAGAATCTCATTAGCATATTAGGCCACACATCCCTGACTGCACCACTCATTAGCATATTAGGCCGCATTCCCATGTTACCAGAAGTGTGCTCATCCAGCCACACCCACCTTTTGCTTCTTATTCTGTTTACCTTGCTTGTTGTCAAAAACCAGGGCCTTTTTTTGTAGCAGGAACTCCTTTGCATGTTAGGCCACACACCCCTAATGTAGCCAATCCTAATGCGTCCCTGCTGTTGGGTGTGGCCTATTATGCTAATGCGTTCCTGCTGGGCGTGGCCAACTCGGGAGCCAGCCGGAACTCCGTTCCTGTGCGTTCCTGCCCAAAAATAGCCCTGATCGAGGGGCACCCCCGTGAGAGCCCGTCATCTCTCCTCCTCCCCCCAATTGCCAATGCTGGAGGTGTGTTTCCGGTCTAACCCAGGAGTGTCCCGTATCATGTCTGCATGTGCTTCCCGTAGCCTTCTGCACTTGCTCAGAGACTGTCTGGCGAACCTGCTGTAGTATATCTCTTAGGACTGAGCTCCTCCCCCCAGTGAATTCCTTAGCCCTCCAGTTCTTTCCTGTGTCCGATTCCTCGATCTCTGTTCCCTTTCCTTCTGCGATCTGTTTTGCCCCTTGGTGTAAGAGTTCAGGGTACCCGAGGATAGCAAAAAAACCCCCCAAAGTGGGAAAGAAAAACTGAGGGTGAAAAAAAGCAATGACTGTAGTGAATTGAACAAGACTGGAAAAGATGTCTGAGCAGTTATTTTACATGATACATAAACGTAACAAGGCAATACAGCCGGCAGGTGATTGAATGGACTGTACCAGTCCAGACAGCAGCAGCAGATGATCACATTTTTGCATTCTCCCCAGTTGTAAAAAGGACTTTCTGAAAGGAGATAACAGGTGTAGCACGGAGAGGGTTGAGATGCTGATATTCTACTTGTAGGGTGTTGTTTCC